AGTTGTAATCGGGAATATGATGAATGAACGTGCTTTCACCGATCTAGTAGGGGAACAATTAAGTCCCGCTTTGCCCAGGAGCTCGCAACGCAAACCCTCCGAACCGACCATGTGACCTCCATGTCATGCACCTAATAATCTCTATGATTATTTCCTTGATTATTATCCGGAGGTCATGTACTACAAACCGCATAGAGAACGTTGGGGAACCCACTGAAGAACCAAACTCCCCGTTGCTGCATCTTGCAGTAGCCGAATCCTCGGCGAAACACGTATCTGGGCTTTTAACTAGTATCTATGCGGAAGCATGGTATAAAATCATTAATCAAGTTCATAATCTCCCAAAGGTAAGGAAGAGGAAAAAGAGGGGGTGGGTTCATTGACCAAATTCTATTTGAGGTGAATTTTCGAAAACCTTCTCGCTTCCATTGTAGATGCGTCTTGTGGTCTTGAGTTAACCAGCCTTACCATGTGCCTCAAAATATATCGATGTTGGACGTGTGAACTTTGAACTGCCAGGTTGTTGCCGACCACATTTGGTCGCTCGGAGGTTGGCTGCTGGTAGGCTTGCATGACCTTTGTCCCCTCTGCGGTCAGCGTAGTTGTAGGCGAATCAACATTCTTGCTGACCTACCCCAAAGCACCCGGCAGACTGATCACCCGTTGTTATTCGCTAAATTTGTTCCTTGCCTCGCGGTTACGACGGTGAGACAGTGCTTGATGTTTGCCGCATGACCTCTGACCTGCACCCCTGTTCTCCGTGGGCGTGGGTTCTCGGTCTTGCGTACTCGTTTGCCCTACTGGCCCTGGCCGACTTGATCCGACCCTTGTGCGAAGTACCTGGTAGGCAAGGTTCAAGTCGATAGCTCTGTTGATTGTGCCAGTGGAGGACCAACTTTCCAGCATTAGTCTGGCCATCTTCTCATTGGCCCTGCCGATAACCCTCACTTTCTCAAAGGCGAATTCGTGGTTCAGCTTTCGCACATGACCATAGACCAAAGATAGTCTGTCCGTGCGATTGATTGCAAGTTCATATTCGTACAATCTTGTGCCCAGGCGTTCGCCCGTTTCACCAACATACTTCGCCTCGCTGTTTCTGCATGGTACGCTGTAGACTACGGCTGATTGCTCGGTTGATGGCAGCGGGTCATTGGGCTTCATGATTTGCTGTCTGATTGCAAAATCTGGCATATATGCCAGTTAACACGAAACATTTACCATTTAGAATTTAGAATTGATATTTGTTAGTGCCGGTAAGGCACTATCCATACATGCGAATGAGTTTTCGCGGAACAATGCGAAACAGTAAGAAACAAATAAGAGCTAGGAAAAGTTTTACTATACTGACAATAAGAAATCATGTTGTGGTAGTCGGCCTTTGGCAAATATAACGCCATCAAGTCCTCTTTTAAAATCAGCAATAGAGTCTGCGGAAACCGCCTCGCTTGTTAGCGAGTTCCAAGGTCGTACCACTCGTTGGCTGAAGGAAAACGTTCTGAGATTTTATCGATTACGTTCGTTTGTAACCTTGTAAGGATGGCCAAGCAGGCGAGTTCAAGTCAGTTTAAGTCAGTTTGTGTTGGCTAACTCGAATAAGTTCCCCAGTCTCAATGAGTAAACATAATCTTGGATTATTCCATATGTCCAGAGCAGGCTACACCGTAAGTGCCTGTAATACAAAATAAGAAGGAGAAGCAAACAGGCTTATAATAAAACTCGCCTGTTGAATGCTCCTGTTTTTTTTTCCTGATTTATCAATGTCTTTTGATGTGGCAATTGAGAAGAAGACGACTCGATCGCTGGGACAGTACTTTTATTCACCTAACATTTCGAGATCCGTCGCGGATTCATCATCAAATACATAAGCAGAGAGCAGTAGCAGATACGGGTGATAAGTCCATAAATCCATCGACCATCTTCATCGCTCTTCGTTGTACTTCTTCATGAGAGACCACATATTTTTTAAATCAGGGCGTCGAAACTGGCATTCTGTAATCAAGATTTGGTCTGACAAAGCAGCCAAATATTTTTCCGAAGAGTTCAGATGGGAAGATTTTAAATGCTCGTGTGATCCAGTGCCGCCTTCAAGTTGCCTTCTAGACTGCCTTTTCACAGTGGTCTGTTGACATCAAGTTCGTGGTCGTCCAAATGCGTGGATGTTTCTGCGTATCAACCTCTTTAATGCGGTGCCATTTATAAAATAACTATGGTTCTTCGACACTTTTCGACAACGGCTAACGTGTAGAACCAGACACTGGAATATATTAATGCTAAGGGGCCACGTGGACGACCAGATAAGCAAGGACCCTTTGTTCTCTGAAGAGAAAAACATTTTTCACCCACTAAAACAATTCTTTGAATTCCCATCTCCATATCCTCTCTAACAGAAGCTTGTGTGGTACACTATCGAAGACCTTCCTGAAATGAAAAAAAAGACATCAATTGCATAGCCCTCATCTGTGGCCTTTGTCCACTTCTCACGCGAGTAAAGAGCACTCGTGAGGCAAGAACGTCATGCACGAAAGCCGTACTGACCATCACACACTATTTTTGTCTTTCCAGGTATCTCATTAAATGCCTCTTAATAATGTGCCCCATTATTTTACACGCGATGCAAGTTAGACTTACAAGACGGTAATTTGCGCAGTCAAGGCATGAACATCCCTTATAGATCGGAGTAACGAATGTCTAGTTCCATTCCTCCAGGAGTTCGCCTTCTTCATAAAACCATTGGAAAATGGCAGGTAGAGGTTTCCACAGTTCATTAGGCAGTTTTTGCAGCGCGAGTGCAGGCACTTTATCCGGCCCACATTATTGCAATGACGAGGCCCTCCGTGCCTAAAACATAAATTTATTTATTTATTTAACGTTGGATAATTCCACCCTGACTATATCCATTATTTACTCAACGTCCTCTATTTTGGGGTACGATGGGAAAAGTAGGGGTGGAAATATCTGCTGATGGTCGGACGGACGAACAGCAAGAGTATTAGGCTCTCGAGTGTAGATAGATTGAATGAAGTTGGAAAAATGGTATGTTTTCACTTGGCCGTGGGTCTCCAGTTGTTCATTGCGATAAGTACTGTCATCGCAGACAATAGAATGTCAATTTGAATGTAGGAAGATGCCAAACGAATGCGTCGTGTCTGCGGAACCAAGAAAGGTTCGTAGAACAAGATACGATCGGTAAAAGTGCACAGAGAATTTCGTTATCGATGGAACTGTTGCGATTCTCTAGAACTCGCATCAAAAGTGGATACCGCTCGTTAGCACTTAGGACTTCCCCAAACGGGCAGGGAGTGCACGAATGGAATCCATAAAAATACTCTGAACCTCTGACTCACGGAAGACGGATATGATGACTGTGTCTCCAGTCGATTATACTATAGAGCTTGTTAGCCTGACCTGCGTTTATTGTAAACAGATACCAGATGTTGAAGTTGTAGCCCAGCAGCATGGATGCCGAGTAAACAGGAATACGTCTTTCAAACTTAAAATTGCGAGAAGAGGCCTATGTTCCAGGAGAAGGGTGAAATGACGCCCTAAGAGTATCATGTAAAAGTTCTCCACGAAGAAGATGATATCAAGTGCATACTTCTCGGTTTTTTTCGTAGTTGCGTTCAGCAGAAGTTAATGGTCATGCTTCAATGGAAGAAGTAAATTAAACAACGGAGTCTCCTCGGCATATGTTAGTTACCTCTTGCAGAAGGTTCCGTCAACCGCAGATGCGATTCCAACACATTATACATAAATACCTATTGTTTTCCCTTATGATACGTCAGTAGGATAAATTTTCAGCGTGTTTTAGTAAAATTTGTACCTTAACTGAATTAAATAGACGACAAACGTAACACCTAAGCATCTACTCTCGTCGCACTTGAGTGATGATGGTGCTTCGCAAACAGCGCCCGGCTGCCTCGGTCCATCTAAGGTATCTGCAACGTTACGTCTATTTATTGCAATCTCTTTGACGAACAGAGATCTCTTAAACTCCGCATCGGCCAATCCACATTCGCGGACGATGCGATAGAATCGGCTTGGACATATTTGCCCTTCAAACTGACCGCGGCCAAATCTACCTGAGTTTAACGTAATGACAGTGTTTTCCAGACCAAGTGTATTCTTACTACGAAACAATAACAGCTATTATATATAGCATATTTTGCTACTATTGTACTTTTGAAGTCAGACTTTTTTTCAATTAAAACAGACTCCTCATTTAGCACAATACTGACCAAGCATAAAACCAAAAAAATATAAGGACTGCAAAAGGGATTTGCTTTAGGGTTTTCCTGTCTTCCAGGGCTTTGACGCATTGCAGAAGTGCTCTACAAATAAACCTTATGATTATTATTCATAGGTCATCAAACCTCCTGATGCTAGCTGGAACCCATTTTCGCTTTAAAGTGTAAACTTAGTTAGTTTTGGATAAGGAAGAAGACGTGTCGAGCACCGGACCAATTTATTTATTGTCCGGCGCTCGACACGACTTAGCCTTATCCATGCAGATACCTGCAACGCGAACTTTTTAACTCATTAGTTAGTTTTATTTATCCTTGTGCTCACAAGTTTTCGCTTAGATCGCTTTACATTCAATAGCTTATTTTACTTCTAAAGAGGATTTATTTAAAAATGAAATGGGCAAATCACGAGTGTTTGCGGTCAAACTTTGAACGATTTATAGTGCTTTAGATTTCCAGTCCGGTCAGTTTTCCTATTTTCAGTTTTCAGTTTTTCTTCTGTTGAGTTTTTTTGTTTCTCAGGACTATTTCTCAGTTTGTATTTCGATTTTTTTCGGTTTAATAATTCAAACATTTTTCTCTATATTTCTCGAGTTAGCTTGTTCTTTAACCTGTTCTCAGTTTATGCTTCGTGGTATAAACGAGGTTCCGATCCACCGCGTCTCTATTTGCGTAGAAAATATCTTACAAGCCCTATCGCTTGCGAGTCTCTGGATACATTATTATATATTTAATGGAACTTTGAAAAACAGAACGAATACGCAATCTTGAATAAGTGAAGGGTAACAAATGTGCCTGAGCCCTCAAGCACACATTGAATTCCCCTTAGTTTGTCACCTGTGCCGCATTGGTCACAAATTTCAATGCAGACTTTCCTCTCTTTTCTTAATAAAGAGGGTGCATTCTTGAGCAGTACTGACTAATTTTACGCCGTCTTACTTGTTTCGCAACTGCTTTCCACGACATTTCCCTGAGTTACACGAAACAGTTTCAACCAGGTGATTTGATCGTCTCCTCGGTTGATTTTGCCTTGAAAATTTATGCTCGCGAAACCTTTCATTGAAAATTACGCCGTACTTATTCCGAGACATAAAGATTAGTTGTTGAAAAACGGATATGGAAATTCTTCTTTGTATTTATATCCGTTCCCTACCCTCTATTGATGAAACATGAAACATGAATAACCCAAAGGGAAGTGGATCCACAAATTATTATTTTTTCCAAAGAAATAAATGAGTTTCGCTATAATATGTATGCGTGTATATGAAACCTAAGTAACATGAACCTTAGGGGTTAGGGTTTGTGCAAACTTCCGGCGTACTTTGGCCCGGTCGGTTCAAATGTCCCAGGAGATTTAAGTGATTGAGTGTAGCGCTTACATATGACTGCCTCAATTGGAACTGCCCAATACCCGCATGCGTTGTTTAAAATTTTTCCGATTCTCTAACAGTAAGCAGATTTGGAATGTGTATACGTGCAGCACTACATGGCGGAGCCGTTCTGCGAGTTACCCTGAACCTCGTCCTGACAATCACCGCATTTCCCTTTTTAATATCACTGAAACAACGCCCGAGAGCTGACACCAACTCCTCCTCATTCATAGATAATTACAATTAACTAAATACTGTTCTATCAGCCACCCCTTATAATACGTGCGAGCGTAATCTGTGCCAAAGAGGAGTCAATGATGTTTAGGAAGCAATCGGAACAAATTCAACAGTCGTCTGTATAACGCATTCCTATGCGCAGTCTTCGGCCATACACGTAAAAGCTGTTTATCATCAAGTAAATACGAAAATTCGGCAGAGTAGGTTTTCGCAAGATTCTATATATTAACATAGTGAACTCTCAGAAATTCCTACCTCCACTATGTTAATTATTTAAGAAACGTGAATTTTTATGACCAACAAAGCAGACAAA